ATATTTCGATGACGGATTAATAATTTTTGCGCGATGGCGTCTCGATTGGGAGATAAAAAAAATGCTGGGATCAGTAGACGGTGGCTTCATTTTCATTTTGTCTCGCTGGCGATTGTTTTTTTGGCGCTTTCTCCATCACAGAGGATAGCTAAAAAATCATTTTGTTCATTTTTTTTCAACAGAACGATATAAAGAAAAGAATGAATTTAATTTTTGTTATAAAACGTTAACTGGACACCGCGTGCGGATAAAATCATAAATGGACAATACAGCCCATAAAAAATAAGTCCCTTTCAGAAATTAAAAAAAAATATTATTTATTTTAGTCCTCTATGTTAAAAAAACCCACCCATTGTTCACTGGCCCAAAATAAAAAACCAAATAAGTTTGATCAATATCTGTCGATATTTCTGGTATGAGGTATTGAAGTTAACAATTACAGTTAACTCTGCTTGTCGATTCTCTGCCTCCAGGTCGAAGAACCCAGGCGAGGCTACGCTGAAGGACAAAGTCTCGTCTGGGGAGGTAGACATCTACCCAACCCGGTGTATACGGGGCCTACGCGCAATTTTTGCCCAAGTCTACGGGCTCGGAACGCCCCACGTAAAAAAAAGACCGGTCTTGTGTCACATCCCACCGTGTAGGGAGGTCTCATTTAAATACCAATATCAGGTATTGTAATTATTTACACTATTCGCTTTTATTTTAAGGAGACATGACCCAGTGGATAAAGACGTTTGTTGGATCCAGTGACTTAAATCAAAGAGTTGTGAATTCAATACTTGGCTACTGCTGTCGGGAACAAATGCTTGAAGGATTGAATTAAAGGGAGATAACTGAGTCATCTGGAAGAGGCATGGAATTAGACCAATCAGAATAATGTAAATAGAGTACATACGTCTGATCAAGTGAAAAGAGAGGTGATGAAATATTTATTTCTAGAGCAGCCATTTTGAAGACTTCAAAACTTGACCCAGATTAGTTTGAATCTTTGCATCAGGGAATAATGAAAAAGGAATAAATTGTTATTTTATTTTTAAACAACTTGCAAAATATTTTAGCAAAATACTAACCTTAATAAATTTAAAAATTTCAGAAACTGTTATGTAGAAAGACTGACATTCCATTTCCATATTTATATATACCTATATATAGGGATATGTATATATATAGGATATATATAATTTATGACTGGCTTAGACGAGCTTTCACAGTTTTGAACAGTCTATGACTAGCTAAGACCATCTATGACTAGCTTAGACGAGCTGTGATCAGCTCAGACAAGCTATGACTAGCTAAGGCCAGCTATGACTAGGACAGACGAGCTGTGATCTGCTCTGACAAGCTTAGACGTGCTCTGCCCAGTTTGGACAAGCCATAACAATCTAAGACCAACTATAACTAGCTCAGACGAGCTGTGAGCAGCTATGACTGGATCAGAAAGCTCTGACCATCTTAGATCAGCTATAACTAGCTCGGACGAGATCTGACTATCTCAGACGAACTATGACCAGCTAAGACCAACTATGTCTAGATCAGACGACCTCTAACGAGCTTGAAAAAGCTATGACCAGCTAAGACCAGCTATAACTAAGGCGATCTCTAACCAGCTTGGACAATCTATGCCTAAGACCAGCTTAGACCAGATCTGACACGCTTGGAAAAGCTATGACCAGCTAAGACCAGCTATGACTAGCTTAGACGAGATCTGACCAGCTTGGGCAAGCTATGGCCAGCTAAGATCATTTATGACTAGCTCAAGTATACAGCAATTTATTGTCAATCCTCAAAGCTCTCCTTATCGTGTCCTACAGGTCTACCTAATTAGCAAAGTGTTTCACAGGAAAGTTGTTGTCCTTGGAACAGAAGATGTAGTATTATGTTGGTTCAACCTCAGGGGAGTAAGGTGGAGAGTACAATGTCTTCTGTTTCACACGTTCCATCTCCAGGGGGCACTGACCCACACTGATTGTCTCGCCCACAGGTAGCAGTTCCTAGTGAGCCACTTGTCGACTAGCCCACCAGATACAAAGCATGATCTTGCGTTGGTGTAGAAGTGCTGTTGTAGTGTTAGTCACAGGCTCCTGTGGTGACCATATATATATATATATATATATATATATATAATCTATAAAGGAAAAACAGAAAAATTTAAAAAATAACTTTCAATGATGAAGATAATAAAATATATATATATATATATATATATATATATATATATATATATATATATATATATATATATATATATTCATGAATTATTCACACAAAAACAAATGCAAAGGTTAATGATTTAATTGGCGAGAAATCCATCGTCGCAAACAATTCAAATAATATACAAAAACCTCCGAATCCGTTCAAATGAATGAAAAGATCCTTGTTTCCATAAATTTCTGCCGCATTAGTTCTTATTTTTACTACAAGCTTTCGTCTGTTCCTACAGACATCTTCAGGTATGGAATAGATGTTGTTCTTGTTTTTTCTCTTAGTAATAAGAGGACAACGAAATATATGTATTGTTGTATCCGAAAATGCTATTGGAAATGAGTTATTGTTTTTGGAGCGCGCAGTAGCAACGCTGAGTTTGATTTTAAATTTTTTGCAGTTGTAAATATGGTGATGAACGAATTTTTTACTGGTAAATTTTCTGTCAAAGTGGCATGAACTATATTGTTCAATAATTACAGTAATGTCGCACTTATTATCCAAAAGTTGAAAAGTTTAATTTCGATAAACGTGCAATCAATTTACAAATTCATGAATTATAACGTTATATACATAGGTTTTTGTATATTATTTGAATTGTTTGCGACGATGGATTTCTCGCCAATTAAATCATTAACCTTTGCATTTGTTTTTATGTGAATAATTCATGAATTTGTAAATTGACTGCACGTTTATCGATATATATATATATATATATATATATATATATATATATATATATATATTTGTAAGGAAAGGAAGAAACGGAAAAAAAAAAAAAACTTTCAATGAAGAAGATAATAAAATTGATATATATATATATATATATATATATATATATATATATATATAGAAAAAGTTGCAAATTAAAAAATAATAATAATGTTTTTTTTATGAAAGTATTTATTTATTTATATATATATTTGATATTTCAGATTGACCTCAGTCTTTCATCAGAAATAACTGTTTCTTACAAATAAATAAAAATTACTGTTTGTTAGCAAGTAGCCTCCGTCGCGAGACGCGGACGTCACATGATATGGAACGCCACTGTGTTCGAATATTCCTAACTTAAATCTAACTGTAATAAATATTTTAGATGTTGTTTATTTTTTTTTAACTATATCTAAAAAAATGCTATTTAATTTATTGAAATATTTATAAAGATTTAAAATACCCAAGTCTTTATACAAACCCTAGTTTATATGTATTTAATTTTAAAATCCAGTATTTTTTTTTTTTTCTGCGCGTGTATGTGGAACTGAAATCAGAATCTATCAATAAACATTTACAGTTTTCTAATGAGTGTTCTGATTGATTAAAGTGTTCAGCTATGGGGGAATAAGTATTGTTTTGACGTATGGTTTGTTTATGATTGTTGAAGCGAAATCTATAATTATTTCCAGATTCACCAATATATCCACTATTAGGACATAAGGTGCAGAATAAATAGTAGATTATGTTATGGCTATCACAGGTGAGGTGAGGTGGGTGTATCTTGATATTGGTGTTGGGTACAGAAAATACATTATCTATTATTAAGTGTTTGCAAACTAAGCAACGAGGTTTGTTACATCTGTAATATACATGGCTTCTCATTATGCAATATATATATATATATTTAACTGGAATTTTTTTTTTCATAAGAATCTCTCAGGTTAACAAACGAATTTCTGAAAAAAAGACGAAAATCTACAAAAAGACAGAAAAATCATAAATAAAAGAAAACAAGTGAGGAAAATATAAATGCGAAAAACATTTCTTTCGCCTTAATGAGACAAACTTAAACAAAATTCGGCCAACTTAGTTTTAGCATTCCGTGACTCTGCAATAAGCAAATAGAATTTAAAAAAAAAAAAACTTCATCAAAGAATAGCAAATTGACAGACGTTGTGGAAAGAACCAACAAATATTTGTCATAGTTAAGTGGGTATACAAGTTCAGGCGCTAAATTTGCGAGCCTTGATGCGTGAAGTGGACGAGAAACGGTAAAATGAGATGAAAGATAAATTGAAAACCCCAAAACCAGAAACGAACAGACGGTTTCAAGCGACAAGAAATAAATAATAAAATGATTCACGAAAAAAGAGAAAATGTTTGATGACTATTTATTCAAAAAGTTGTTGCATTGCATTTGCTCAATTTTAAGCTGACTGTTCGGACAATTACATAGCAGCCAATCTTTACGGCAAATAAGGTCGCAGAAATTTAGGTGAAGAAAGAGGGACAAAATGATTTCCATAAATAGATATGGAAGGAGGTAAAGGCTATTACCTTTACTTGTCTGATTTTCTCTCCACGAGACATCATAGCGAATCACGTGTCCCATACAAATCCAAATATTATAACTATTCAACTTTACGTTTAGCGGCAAATGCGAATAAAATATACTGAACTTCATCGTATCTTGAAAGAAGTAAAATGAAAAATTCTACAGGTTTTCCACCATAAAATAAAAGATTATTCAGTCAGTTATTTTTTTTTCTCTATTCTATATATATATCTCCCGGGAGATCTGGTTGAACTCTCGAGAGAAATGAGATTTTAAAAACAGCGGCTCCTACTGCTATTAATGCATTACGCTTCAAGCACGAATTGAGTTCTCCGGCGTATTTTGTGCAGAAAAAAACGTTAAAATTTCCCTTTATCACTGCCGTGTGACGATGGCCTAGGGGTAAGATATCTGACTGATGTCAAATCGGCTTGAAACAATCGGATGGCTAGCCACACTGAAGAGATGTGAAGCAGTGAAACAGTCCGTGAATGACAATACACACACACACACACACACACACATATAGATAGATAGATAGATAGATAGATAGATAGATAGATAGATAGATAGATAGATAGATGAAGAAATATAGTTTACAGGTGTGCTATATTTATGGGATATTGTGCTCAATATCAGAGATAGAGCGTATGTAAATATAAATATAAACGTGAACATTGAAGTCAACACTCAGAGGCGACAGACTGTTTCATGCTGAACGCAATAGGGCGGCCTGACGATTGCGAAAAAAAATATATATATATATATATATATATATATATATATATATATATATATATATATATATATATATATATATATATATAAAAAAAAAAACAGTAAGATATATAATCCGGTGTTCTTATTGATATTTTTATTTTTACAAAACAGTACTCAATGTAAATTTACAGAGTATACATATTATAAATTAACTGATTTAAAATATGTTTTTTTTTCGCTACGCAAGAATTACCATGTTTCAAAAACCGAAGCTAAAAACTTCAAATTTAATTATATAATTAAATTAAAAGCATTAGTTCTGTTTCATCTTCAAGCGAATTTTAAAATAACTTATTTTTAAATTTACTGAGTTTCAAACGCACATACAATTCATATTTCTTTTGTTTCCAAGGATAGATAGAAATTCAATCATTTAGACAGGGGCACAAGCCGAGTTCGAATTCCTGTCGAATCCATTAGATTCACTTACGTGTTAATACCCTTGGGAAAGGTATTAATCCTCTTCTTCTCCTTCCAGATATGGGTATGTGTAGTAGTTCTCAGTAGGTTAGTTGGTTAAAGTTTGCAGACCTTAATGATAGACGTACCCAAGATCAATCCTTTCAGTGAACGTTCTTTTTCTTTAATAAGATTTTACGGACATTCAGGCCGGTAGACAAAAATAAATAAATATACTATACTGTTTCATCAATAAACGGAATATCTACTCAAATACGATTAAACACTAGACATAGCGTTTAAATGAGAAACAATATGTCTGATTAATAAAAATCAATTACTTAGAATATATATATGTGTGTGTGTGTATGTGTGTGTACTAGCTTAAATTACTTAAGCTAGCTCCTTCTTAGGGCTCTTGTTTGGGCTTTGATCACCATAGATAGGAACGAGTAGATGCAATAAACAACAATAAGCTACAGATTAACTCAAAATTGAGCGCTGCATTTAAGTATTGCTTGCTCTAAAGATATTTGATGTACGTAGGTCCTTACTTTCCGTGCAAGAATTATTTTTCTTTCATGGGATGACGTTCGCTGGATTTTGCAATTAATTTCGATTATTCCCAAATTTATTTCCTAGTTATAAAAATTGTTATCATAGGAAAATATTCGTCGCAAAAAGTCACGTAAAAACATCGCAGGAAACAGTCACAGTAATGAAGAGTTGGGAATCCAAAATTTCAGAATTGTGGGTCTGGATCCTGCCCAGAATGCTTTTAATTTGCTCACAGATTCGACCTGATTCCAAAATAGTATATGTTGGGCTACAGCCTCTACGAGTAAAGTTGAAAACATGGACAATTTTATTTTTAAACACTGTAATTTGAGAATAGTAAGTTTTTCATTTGGACATGAGCTATTGGGAATTAGAGAGTTATGTCCCTTTAATTCCTTTTATCAGTAGAAACAAAGATGGCGGAAGCCGAAAACAATCGCAATAACGAAAACTTGGGAATTAAAAATTTTAGAATTGCGAGTCCGGCTCCGGCTCGGAATGCCTTTAATTTGCTCATGAAGTCGGTCTGATTCCAAAATATTATGATATGCTGAGCTACGGCCTCTAGGAGTGAAGAGGAAAATGTCTGACACAGTGACACACTGTTATTCGCATTTATTATATAGGTATATCCGTGTCTGTATGTCTGGTGAAAATAGTATTTAAAAATATTGTATAATAAAAAAAAATTAAGAACTTAATGTCAAATAGAATGAACCGAAGCAAAGGATTATGTAAACTCTCGTCGATTCTCGCGTGATCACAAAACTTTTACTCAAGCCATCAGACGAGACGGTAATGGCAAAAACTGAAGCAATTTTAATGGTAGGATTAGACATTTCCATACAGAAAACGTTCAATCACTAAACAGTTAATATGGCTGTCGATTTAAATTTATAAAATCTTTTGAAACATCGAGAAAATAGCAACAAAGATGGGGTTATTAGTTTGTCAGTATATAACATAAAGCATACAGCCACATGTATGATCACCAAAGTTAAGCAACACAGAGCCGGGTCAGTACTTAAACGGGTGACCGCTTGAGAATACGGGTACTGTAAGTTTGGATGTGCGGATGATGTTATAGATAATAGCACGGAATTGCTAATTTGAGAGCCGAGTTCAAATTCCTGATGGGCTCCTTATATTTCCCTTATAAGCTTTGAACGGTATGAATCCAACTCTTGTTCTCCATCTATGGGTTAATTACTAAACCATTGTCTCCAGGCAAAACTCTTGCAGTCTAATAATATATCAGCTCCTCAGTGTGTTCTATGTAGAAAATACATGTTTTGGGAATCTAGATTATTTCAATTTCTGTTGAGTGATAAGCTAATTCTATAAGCAATATCCACCTGCGCTAATACAAAGCTCTTCAGTAAAATAAATGGAGCACTTCGGCTGATTGGCATGTATTTACATTCGTAAAAAAACAATACGCTAGATTTAGCCGTGTAACTCTTCCGAGTGAAGAAGCTCTGACTGACACCAAATCGGTTGGGTTTCGATCCTAGCTTGAGACATTCGGATGTCTAGTCACACTGAGGAGCTGTAATGCAGCGAAACAGTACTGTCTACAAAATGATATATATATATATATATATATATATATATATATATATATATATATATATATATATATACATTTAAAGATATTTTTGTAGGTATAACATTTAATGATCGAAATAAAAGTATAAAACTTAATATTACGAGACATATTAAAAAAAACGGGTGAAGCAACTGGTTTCGAAAAAATTCTTCAGGCTTCAACGGGAGATTTAAAATTGACACAGAAAAATGTACAATAAAAGGAAGTTGTAAAAAAAAAAAAAATTATTAGAAAAAGGAACTAGAGGTAAATGACAACGAGTCCCAACAAACACTCACGTTGTTTACACAAAGAAGGCTTATGGGACCCGATGTAAAGTGCCTCCAGAACCTTTAGATGAAATAAGGAGTGAGACCGGGACAACACGGTGAACCAGTCAACACTAGTATTTAGTCATCCACCACGAGGGCACCATGTGGCACAAGGCCGGTTTAACGTGGGATCCCCGAGCCCGTGGGATCCCCGAGCCCGTGGGCTCGGCCAAAAATATGCCCTTTGAACCGTATGAACGGGTTCAGGGTCGGTTTACCTCCCCGAAAGAAACCCCGTCCTTCAGCGTAGACTCGTTCGGGTTCCTCCCCGCCCGAAGGCAGAGAGTTCAACCGATCAACCGATCAACTTTTATTTCGATCATATATATATATATATATATATATATATATATATATAAGGTTAGGTAAATTAGATAACTAGATATTGGCGACCGTATATATGTGTGATGACCTGCATACTCTGGTAAGCAAATACCAAATTTAACCAAAAGGTGTAGACATAATAGTGCTCAATGTGATTAGACAGAGCTAAGAAATATATGTTAATAAATCTCATGTCCGATGAGCTGGGTAGCCAACAAAACTCTAGTAGCACATCAAACGTAGGGTGAAATCTCCACCTCTGAATTTTGCAAACCATCTTCTGCAAGTTCTTTCATTCACACATTCCTCTCCATAAACTGAGTGAATGTTTCTAACCGCTTCGGCTGCTGAGTTTCCTTTCTTGAAATCATAAAGCATTATGTGCCTCAAATGATTCTTGGGTACTTCCGTGTTTGCAGGGTTTTAATCAAACAAAATTTAATTTTATTGTTCTCTGAAATAAAATTTGATCAGTTTAAATGCCTCTAAACATAAAAATAATGTCCAGCTCCATTAGACATTATAAAATACTCTTTAACTTTCGTTCATTTTAACAAAAAGTTAATATTCGGACAGAACTTATGGGATGACCTGATATATATATATATATATTATAATAAATATATGCAATCAATTTACAAATACATGAATTATTCACACAAAACTAATGCAAAGGTTAATGATTTTAAATGGCGAGACATCCATCTCGCAAACAATTCAAATATTACACAAAAACCTTAGATCCGTTATGAATGAATTGATCCTTGTTCATATAAATTTCTGCCGTATTAGTTGTTATTTTTACACAAGCTTTCGTCTGTTCATACAGACATCTTCAGGTATATAATAGATGTTGTTCTTTTTTTTTTTTCTCTTAGTAATAAGAGGACATCGAAAATATATGTGTATTGTATCCGAAATGCTATTGAAAATGAGATATTTGTTTTTGAACGCGCCAAAGCAACGCTAAGTTTGATTTTTGAATTTCTTTTTTTAAAATGTTTGCGTTTATACCAAATATGGTAATGAACAAATTATTTTACTGGTAAATTTTACTGTCAAAGTGGCATGAACTATATTGTTCAATAATTACAGTAATGTCGCACTTATTAACCAAAAGTTATTGTAATTTAAATAAGTGATCCATGTGCGACCAATCAATGAAATACTGATTAGCTCCACAGGCATGTCTTTTAGATTTATTTACATTCCCTGGAATACCATGGTCACAAAATGAGGGATCATTATATGCTTATAGTTGTTTCTCCTGCACTTCTCGCTCGCTTGTGGAACTCTCTTTCTGATTCTTGCTTTCCAATTAAATTTGATCTTCAAATATTTAAATGCATCATCAATCGTTATCTATTGTCTTGCTGTTTTTTCTTCTAATGTTCTCGAGGTAAAATAATGTTTCTGTTTTCTCATTCTTTCACACCCAGGAACCCCGTGTGTCTTAGTGGCTTTACTGCCTTGCTTCGGGTGATTTCGATTTTAACATAATATGAAGAAGAGAGGCTTGGAAAACTTAACACTGACGGGGCATACCAAAGACCAGAAAGACCGGGGAGAGACAGTGGGATAATTATGTAGCGTGAATATGGTGTTTTGGTTTCAAACAATTTAAAAACGTTTTTTTAAGGGCCATTTTTGAACAAAAGCTATCGAGAACTATGTCCGCTTACGTCCTAAATGTGGCAATTTTAATAGACAAGAATTTTGTTGACTAAATCTTGTCAGAAGACGGAATATAAAAGTTTATATTAAATATTTAATACCCGCCCAAAAATAATGATATTTCGTATATCATTATCTATCTATCTATCTATCTATCTATCTATCTTTCTATCTAACTATATATATATATATATGTGTGTGTGTGTGTGTGTGTGTGTGTGTGTGTGCATGTATATATGTGTGTGTGTGTGTGTGCGTGCATGTATATGTGTGTGTGTGTGCATGTATATATGTGTGTGTGTGTGTATGTGTGTGTGCGTG